TAAAAGATTTGTTTTGATTGTTTAAATGTGCTCTTGGACCTTCGTGCCAAGATAGTTATCTCCTTGCATTTGAATGACAAATGACAAATGAAGTTCTTACTTTTGTATTATTTAATCATTTGCACCTTTGTTGGTATTTATGTGAATGATATTTATATCTTTGTTAATGATTTTTCTTAGATGGGGTGTAGATTAAAAATGATTATGCATTGTAGATTAATGTTGTATTATTATATATGTTAAGTAAAAAGATTCCAATTTATGTAATATTTGTATACATTTTAAGAAAAATATTTCCGGTTTATGTTGTTTGGATATATCTTTATTTTGTACTTTTCTAGATCTTAAGAAAAAAAATTCAATTTTATTTTGTATGTTTATATATTTTTAAAAAGTATTTCTGATCTATATTGTTTTTTTTTTTATTAGTATTTTTTTTTTTTTGTAATTTTACATTTACGAAACTGATAAAAGACTTAAATAGGATTATAATATCTTAAAGATACATTTTTATGTTAAAGGCTTCTCAAATTATAAAATAACTTTATAGAATGTGTATAATATGTTTTTTTTTCATTTATTTGAATAAGTTTGGTTATGGTCGTTTTAGACGAACAAATCAACAAAGTTACCTTATATAATATAGGTAGGAGTTAAAAATGTGAAATTGTCTCGCTTTTAACTTTTAAAATAGTCACATATGCGTGCCTTTTAATTGTTAATCCTACTCTACCAAAGTAGGAACAATTTTCGATAAAGATGTGAGAAATGATTTCATATACATTTCAAATCTCAAGTCTGCAATGCAACACTGATTTAGACCAAAATCTTACATCATGTTTAGTTAACCAATGTATTTTTATAGATCAAAAAACATATAATTTGAAGTCCGGTTTAATATTTCATATGAGTTATGGCTATTAGGCATAACCACAAACGAAAAGTTAAAATTGAATTGAAAAACCATTATACAAATCTAATAGATGACTAATACAATGTCATCTAAAAGTTAAAATATATATTTAGCATATTAAGATATTTATTTTAATGATTTTTCATATTAATCGTATTTTAGAAAAAAATAAAAGAATAATTTATGTTGTATACATGTTATGTTTAAAAAAATATAATTTTAATAAGAATACAATTATTTAATTTGTATATTTTAATATTTTAACTGGTTTATGACAATTTTTAGAATACATAATGAATATTAATACTTAGTTATAACATTAATTACCAAAGGGCTTCTAGCCCAGCGGTACCAGGTGGTGTCCTCCCTCTTTGAGGTCGAATGTTCAAGTCCCGTCGTGGACATAGGTGGTATTATGTGTTAGATTATGAGTAGATTTATATATTTGTATTTGCCAGTTAAAAAAAAAAGTTATAACATTAATTAATGCTTAGTTATAAAGGTAATAATTAGGTATCTAACTTAGATCCGCAATAAAAATAACAGTGATCAAAATTTATAAGATTATCAAAATATCTTTTTGCTTTTAATAACAAAATATGATAATATCAAATCCAAAATATAAATGTTAAAACTAAACTGAAAAGTGAATTTTAAATACTAAACCTAACGACTATTTTAAATATCAATAAAAAACAACAATATATTTATTAAGTTTTTTAAGTGAAAATAATGTAGTTATTATATTTATGAGAATATACATTCATTAGAATTATTCTTATTTAAACATTTCATTAAAAAAAAAAACAATTCAACCAGACTTATTGAAAGAAAATTGTATTACCTTGGTAAAATTTGAATTTTTATTGGGAATGCAAGACATAAATTAAACAAATAATTAAAAAAAAAACTCTTTTACAATGGACATGTAAAGAATGATGGAAAGTTTTAGTTAAAAACATTGCTATCTCTTATTCTTAATTTATTACCCTTAAATTTTCTTTAATATTTTTTTTTATTTTCTTTCAACTTAAACTTTAGAATACAATCCTAATGAAAATAGATAAAACAAGTAATTATTATATAATCATTGAAGTAATATTTTTTCTTAAATAAACTAACATTTACTAAAATATTATAAGCAAAATACCTCACATGCATTCACAATATGATGCTAATAGTTAACTAAGTGACACATACAAAGAAAATTAATCCTAGAATAGAAATTATTTACCGTCCGTTAAAATACTTTATACGTCGCTTGTTGAAAAGAAACTAATAATTGAATACCGTATTTTTATCCCAAAACAACCTGCTGAAAAAACAATAACCACCGAAAGAAACTTTCTCGAGCCGCCGCATTGTGCGGGTATCCTACTAGTATATATATATATATATATATATATATATATTACATTTAAAAAATGATATATTTAATTATTAATGAACTTTGATTTCCATCCGTATTCGTAATATTCCATATCATTGTATTCCTTCCGTATTCGTATGTAACTAATCTGCATTTGCGGTTCGTTAATCAGAAAAAGAAAAAATACATGTCGTTATTTTCACGAGTGACGAACGAAGAACACATCCACTTTCTATGAATGTTTTCATTTTTCATATTTATTTGGATGTTATTGACTTTATGAATTTATGTTGAAAACTTTTTTTTATGTTAATTACTTTAATCATTTTATGAATTTATGTTGAAAAAATCTCATTTTTTAAAATGTGTTGTTTATTTATTAAACGGGTTATACGGGTTGGGTTTGACCCATTAACTTGTGAACCCGCGAACTCATATACGTAAACGGGTTATATGGGTTGGGTTGGGTTGAGGTTTCCAACCCACCAACCCGTCAACCCATATTTTATATGGGTTGGGTTGAGTTTATGTTTTCTGACCCGCCAAACCCGCCAATCCGAACTCAACCCAATTGCCAGGCCTACTTTTTGGTCCCATAGTTGAGATCTTGTAGTTGTGATCATTGTTGAGGCTTTGAGTTTCTCCTCTTGGCGTTTTTGAGGGTGTAGATTCATAAAGTTTGCATCTTTAGAATTTTGCAATCCCCATGCATAAGATTAAGCCCACTTATGAGAGTGGAATATTATATTGTGAAGTTGGAACCTTTTGGGGCATGCAAAGTCACAAAGTCAGTGACTTTTATGGTCCTACATGCTCTTTAGGACTCAGATCCATGTTTTGGTCGAGTGGCTTTAAGCATTAAGTGCTTAATAAGCCTTTTTGGAATCAGCATGCGAACACGCCGCGTAGGGTCGAGGAGCGCCCTACGTTGCGATTTGGGTCCGCGATCTGATTCGGTGGCGAACGCCCAACGCTCCACCAGGGAACGCCGTGCGTACGGGGCATCAGTGGGACTTCAGACCTTTTCGCCTTGGACTTGGTTTTGGGGTTTGGGCTTTCTATTTTGGGCCATTTTCTTGGAGTTTGCTACTATGGGCCTTAATGGATCATCATTTTGGGCTTTATTGGACTATATCTTATTTTGGGTTTAGAGTAAGGCCCATTAGAGGGGTTGGGACCAATTTGGAAAAATAGGCCAATGGTGGCCATTAGTGGGCTTTCATGGACTGTGAAGTTTTTGGGCTTGATTGGTTTTGGACTTTGGCCTTAGTTATGAAGCTTGTTGGGCCAGGGGTAAAATAGTCATTTTACCCCAAGTATGGATTATGGATCATGGTTTGGAACCCAATTGCTAATTGGGTGATATTTTGGTATTGATAGTTCGAGGAGTTGCCAGGGCAGCAGCTAAGGACTTCTTGCAGTGGACTTCGGCAGTGGGAGGTGAGTTACCTTCCCGGTGGCAGTGGGTCTAAGGCACCAAGGCCGGCCCACTAGTAGGAGTTTGTAGTTAGATGATTGTCTTTATGATAATTATCTGGTATGCCACTATCTGTTATGATTTATGTGCTAGTATGTTATGATATTATGTGATAGTGGTAGGGGTGAAATAGACCCCGTATTCGGTCAATAAGACCAAAGGGGTAGACCGGGCACCCAAATATGCCTGGCAGTATGATTATGTATGCTATTATGTGGTACTGGCAGGGGTGAAATAGTCCCCGTAACCGGTTGAAAGAGACCGAAGGGGTAGGCCAGCACCCTGATATGCTAGGTGGTTACCGGTTGAAAGAGACCGAAGGGGTAGGCCAACACCCTGATATGCTAGGCGGTTACCGGTTGAAAGAGACCGAAGGGGTATGCCAGCACCCGGATATGCTAGGCAGTATGTTTATTGTATGGTATGTGGTATGATGGGGGAACTCACTAAGCTTTGTGCTTATGGTTTATAGTTTTGGTTTCAGGTACTTCTTCTTCAAAGGAAAGGAGCCGACATGATCGCATCGCATCACACTATGATTTTCCACATGACGAGATCTTTGGAAGTTGTACTATGATATTATCTTTTTATGACATGTTTGGATAATTGATATACTGGTTTGATTATGAAATGGGATGACACTATTGATGTTTTCAGACTACTGGTTTTTATGATTACATAATTAAAAATGAAATTTTTGGTCATGAATTTTGGGACGTTACAATATACCACATGATCATTGGTTTTTGGGTGCTTTGGATTTGAAGACATTCAAAATGACTATATATGATAGTCATTGGAAGGACGGCTACTGTTCGAAAAATAAGGATTGGTTTATAGGTATGAGAGCCCGCATCCACAAACCGCTAGTGGGAGTCAACTACTGGGGTACTGAACCAACTGTTTCAATCCCACTCGAAAAGGCCCTAGACGTACAACACCAGATTGACAACAAATGGGATAGTGGGGTGTTTTTGTGTTGGTTTCTGGTGGCTTTGATCACTAGGAAATCGATTTCTATAGAGGGTAAAACCGGTTCATGGGCTATGGGTTATCGAAAACAACTAGCGGAAATTTTTTGGGGTACAAGGACAAAGATAATTTGAACATCATATATTTGTAATATGACCAACAAACACATCCCTTAAATTAAACAAAATTTGTTTTTCTTTCATTAGGCCCTATAATTTACTCTAAACAAATTTAACAAGCTTAATACACATCCAGATACTTCCCTCTTGATGAAGCTATACCCACCAGTAGCGTTACACCTCCGGCGACCGCTCTCCTCGCTCCTCTCCGCCTCTATCGCTACGGAAATCAGCTCCCTGCCGCCGCCGTTTTCTTCATACCAATCTCTATCTTTCTCGCCTCCTTTTATGTACCTGCAATCTGTACTCAATCAAATCAAACTTCTCTTTAAAAATCCACAAAGTTATTCTTCTCTTACCACTCTAGATTCATTATTAGCCAAACCCCATTTGTTGGATTCTGCAGCATCTATCGTCTTAATTGATTACTTGTCTCAGATAAAGAAGCTTGGGAGGAGCAAAAGACTAATTTCACATTTAAAATCAAGAGGAAAAGTAAGTGATTCGTTTCTCTATAGTTTAGTATCTGATTTTTTAGTTAAAGATGGTACAATTAACGATGTCGAGAATGTATGGGAAGAAATTTGTGGGCCAGTAAAAAGCTTTAATTTCTCAAATTACGTGATTTTAGTGTGTAAATTTGGTGGCGTTGATGAAATTAAGCATATTTATGCGAGAATTTCAATGGGTGGTGGGAGTATCTTAGAGATACAAACCTATATTGCTTTATCTGCGGCTTTATGTAATGTGAATGAGGGATTTTTGGCTAAAAATCTTGTGAAGCAAATGTATGATAAGGGTATTGCTGTTGATAACTGGACATACTTTTTGATGTTCCAGTGTTTTTGTAGAAATGGGAATTTTGATGAAGCCGATTTGGTATTGAGAAAACTTGTACAAAATGGATTCACCATTGACATTTGTATATATGGAAGCTTTCTTCATGGTCTTTGCAAGTGGGGCAAACATCGTGAAGCCAATAAGCTGTTCCAAAAGTTGATAAAACCAAAAGTATCTAGAGAGAGAGGAGTGGTGTTGAAGGAGGGTAGAAGAGCAATCTTTCAATTGAATTGTGAGGGTGTTGTTCCCAAAATGATGTGCTATGAATCTTATTTCCGTGCTTTGTGTAATTATGGGAAACTTGAAGAGGCCGAAATTTTGTTAAAGAAGATGACAAGTGGTAGAATGTTGCCTGAGATTTGTGTTTATGGTTCATTTATAAAAGCCCTTTTTCGAGGGGGTAGGGATGAAGATGCTATGAAATTCTTTAATGTTCAAAAGAAAAAGGGGTTGGTTCGTGTGGATGAGATAGGTAGATATGTAATTATGGGGCTTTGTGAGAAGGGAAAAGTCGATGATGCTTTGAGGATTTTTGAAGAGATTGGGTGTAATGATTTGTTAGTGTTTAATTGTATATTGGATTGTTATTGGAAACAAAGGAGGGTGGCCGATGCGGAGGTTTTCTTTGAGAGATATCGGTTGTGTGGGAAACTTAATGTAGAGACGTGTATAATCATGTTGAATGGATATTGTAGCCACAATGATGTATCGAAAGCAGTTGTGGTGTTTGAAGAGATGTTGAAGAGCAAAATGATGGTGGATGGAGCATCATATGAGAGACTTATTTGCGGATTATGTGATCATGGGAGACCAATTGAAGCTTTTCAATACTTGAATGACATGATTGAGGATGGGCATGTACATTTTCTTTTCTCCAAGGGATGGCCATCACTCTTTCGGTCAATCCTTGACCTTAACATGGATGAACAAAAAATGTAAAGGTTCATGCTGTTTACTTAGACATCTAAATTATGTTTTATTTATATAAAAAAAAAATGATTCAGATGATGGAACCAAATGGAGCTGTAATAAAAGTTCATTAGTGATGCTTGATACATTGCAGCCCAATCCAATGACAAGATCAGGTACCCAATGCTAGCTAGGCCCAGGAGAAGCATCAAGTCAAGAACATACCATTACAAGAATAAAAACCACGTGCATTTTAATTAGATCACTTAGTCAAAATATTTACCCAAGTTAAGTGTTAGGCTTTCCCTTGGGAAGCAGTAACCCAGTTTTCCTAGTTTTTAGTTACCACCAGTTTTACCTTTGTATTCTCGTTTTTTTCCTTTCCTCGAATTGGCCACTATCAATGCTCCTCTATGAAACCTCATGGTTCTATTTTGCTTGGTTTTTAGGACAGAAAAAATTGGCTTACTTTTTATTTCTCGATGTTTGGTTACATACATCAAATATACTCTGTTATTTGTTTTCTTTTCTTATTAAATTATAGCGTATGAACCAGTCGATACCATTTTTTAACACCCAAAAATACCTACTTAATAAAAAAAAAGTTAAAAAGGAAAAGCTGATCATGTAGACTCACAGCACTTATTGCATGTACTCACGACATGTTTAATTTCTTGACCACTGAAGTGGATAATTTTTTTAATTTTATTTCGTTCTCATTTGTTTATTTTATAGTTGTTTCTGTAAAGGTTCATCAGAGTCAAGAAAGGCTGCTTGGTTCACTTGTTATATGTTTTCTTGCAAAGCTTCTGTCATATCTGCCACTTCCATCTTCTTTAAGCTTCTAAGTCATCTACACCATTGAAGGTCAAGCCATGGAGAATCTCCAAAATACCCCTAAAACTCTACACATAGTGATGTTCCCATGGCTAGCCATGGGCCATCTCATACCGTTCTTTCACTTGTCCAAAATCTTGGCTCAAAAAGGCCATAAGGTCTCATATATATCCACTCCAAGAAATCTAAGTAGAATTCCCAAAATACCCCCAAAGCTAACCCATAACATCAAACTAGTCTCGCTTCCCTTTCCAAACGTGGAAAGTTTACCAGAACATGCGGAGTCTTCCATGGACATACCTCACCAAAAAGCCCAGTTTCTAAAAATAGCATTTGATCTGCTAGAGTCACCTCTGGTCACTTTTCTTGAAAGCACAACACCAAAGCCTGACTGGATCATCTTTGACTATGCTTCTCATTGGCTACCCTCCGTTGCATCCAAACTTGGTGTCTCCACGGGTTACTTTAGCCTCTTCACTGCTGCAACACAGGCTTTCCTTGGACCTCCATCACAGCTGTTGAATGACAAGGTCAAACCACGGTCAACGGTTGAGGATTTTTGCCGGGTGCCAGAATGGGTCCCGCCTGACTCGAATATCGTTTACCGGCCCCACGAGATCATGAAGTACACCGAGGGTGCGGTCGGTAACCAATCAGGCGTCTCCGATACCGTACGATTTCTTTCCTCGATCGACAGTTGTGATTTGGTTCTGTTCAGAACAAGTGTCGAGTTCGAACCTCAGTGGTTCCAACTCGTTTGTGAGCTTTATCAAAAGCCTGTAATACCGGTTGGTGTTTTGCCTCCGTCACTAGAAAACCACGAGTTTGATGATTACGGAAAATGCAATGTCGAAATCGGTGAGTTAACTCGGTGGTTAGATGAACAGCGAGATAACTCGGTTGTTTTTGTCGCGCTAGGAAGCGAGGCGGTTCTGAGTGATGCTGAACTCACTGAGTTGGCTCTAGGGTTGGAGCGTTCGGGTTTGCCTTTCTTTTGGGTAATAAGACAGTCAATTACCGATTCGATTCAAACACTTCCTGATGGGTTTCTTTCGAGGGTCAAGGGCCGTGGGATTGTTTATGAGGGGTGGGTTCCACAAGTTCGGATTTTGAGTCATTATGCTATTGGTGGGTTCTTGACTCATTGTGGTTGGAATTCGGTAATCGAAGGACTCGCATTTGGGCGCGTATTGATATGTTTTCCGGTTATGAACGACCAAGGTTTGAACTCAAGGTTGCTAAGCGGAAAGAAACTTGGAGTTGAGATTCCAAGAATCGAGACAGACGGATCATTTACGAGTGAGGCGGTGGCCGAGTCGATCATAGTGGCAATGGTGAGTGAAGAAGGAGAGGTGTTGAGGGCAAATGCAAGAGAAATGAAACGAGTGTTTGGAGATAGGACCAAGAATGATCATTATATTGATGCTTGTATACATCACTTAGTTGAAATGAGGAAACCCTAGTGGTTTTGTTGAAATAAGTTCATCTTATGCAAAAGCTGTCATTTATATTCCTATACAATTTTCATAATGATGAATAGTTGTTTTAATGCAGAAAAATGCTTATATAAGAGCATCTCGAACCTTTTTTTTTTTAACCATTTATCACCATTTAGTAGTATTGGATTGGTGAATTATTTTTACTGTTTTCTATTGAACGTCTATATATTGAATTGTCAATTACTTTTTAGATTTTGCGTATTTTTTTTAGCTAGGAATGATAGGGTGTTCAAAAATTCTTCTACTGCCCTTCTGAAAGTGGCGGATACTATTATTTCCACATCCTATAATTGGTGTAAGTATAGGAGCTTTGCGGGTTGTGGTAGTTGGGTGGAGTAGTGTTATTTACCTTTTGCACACCTCTTGTAATTTGTTTGTTTGTTTGTTTTCCCTTTCGTGTTTCATACCTTTGTTTTCTCTTTTTCGTAATTTAGTTACCTGCTAATCATGGTGTTTTAATATATTTGCCGTTTAAAAAAAATATGGTTTTTAAATTGATTCCCTTAATTATATTTAGATTATAATTAATTAGTTGAATATTTAAATTATATCATAGGTTAAACATTTTGAGTTGTAATATAAGTTATGTAATCAATTGCAGCGTTATAACCGTGTTATAGTGGTTAGTAGATGTAAAGAATCGTGATTTTCAAAATAGTAGTAGCTCTATTAGCGTTGCTATTTACCGCAATTATGGTATAACGGCACTATAACCACTATCTAAATAAATTATATTTTTGGGCTATTTTTTTTTTCCATTTCATTATTGTTTTTCCTTAACCTAAACCAAAACTTTTATAACAATATTTTGTTAAAGTTTGGCGTAAAATACACGCTTAGGAGCAATGACACGTTTGATTCTTGCATCTCTTTTTTTTAACCTTTCAATTTTTTTATGGTTGTTTACTATAAATTACCAAATTGTTACACAGGTTACATAGTTTCATAGCTGTCAATTCATTTACATCCTCTTTTTGGGTCTTTCTTCTTATCGTCTATTACTAACAATTATAAAAGTATAAACATTAATTTTACTATTATTTAATTCTAGGTAGTTCTTTACAAAAATATAATATAATTGCTATATGTTCTAATGGTTAGTTTCCCAAGCGATTGTTGTGTGTTCCATTCTTCACTCCTCTACTCTCTCCTAAGAAGTTTCTTTTTTTTTTTTTTTTTTTTTTTTTTTTTTTTTTTGCCATGACCCTTCACCCCTTTCAGATTTTGTCATTTACAACTTTGGCCCAAATGTTAATTTGTTTTATAAATTTGGTATAAAAACTCTTTATAATATTTTCCTAACTTTTCTTGATTATAAATTTGACCCAACTTTCATCGTTTTTTACAAATTTAATACCAATTTTTTACAATCTTTCTCCGACTTTTTTAGTGCTTAAATTTATTTTTTGTTTTTTAAAACTAAGTTTCCTTTTTGAATTCTTTTTACAACTTTGGTTACATCATTTTTAACAAATGTGATTTTTTACGATATCATCTTAACATTGTTTACAAAAAATTCCAATTTCATTATGACTTTGTTTTTATGTTCTTTAAAATTATTGTTATTTTTTCAATTTGACAACTTCATTATATATATATATATATATATATATATATATATATATATATATATATATATATATATATATATATATATATATATATTTTTTTTTTAGGTTCATTTGAAACCATATTAATTTTGTGAGACCGTGAGACGTAATCTAAAAATAAATTTAAAATGTAAAATAAAAGAAAAAATCCAAAAATTCTTTTTTTAATTATTATTTTCGTCATTTTATTTACCTAAAAAATAAGAAAATAATAAAAAAAATAAATAAAAATTACCGTTTTTTTTGTAAAATACGTGAAATATTCTCATAGAATATTATACTGTAAATTTCTAATGTGATTTTTAGAATGTTAGAATATTATAATATTCTATTAGATTTGTCAGATATGTAAAATATTATAATATTCTAGTAGAATATTTTACAGATATTTAAAAAAAATGGTAATTTTTTTTATTTTTTTGGAAAATATAATTGACGAAAATAATATTTAAAAAAAAATATTTTCGAAAATGTTCAACTTTTTTGAATTTTAAAAATGTTTTTTTATTAACAAAATGAGTAGCTAGGATTACGTCTCCCCGTCTTACAAAATATAGTGGTCTCACAGAACCTAACCATATATATATATATATATATATATATATATATATATATATATATATATATATATTATATATATATTAAACTTTGTTTTTTATGAATTTATCATCTGTATTTTTACATGGTTCTTTGAAATTTGTTTCGTTTTTACAAATTGACATTCCTCTTCTCCCAAAAAATATTCATGGAAATATTCCGCATCAACACGTGCATCTAGGCCTCATTAAAAAAACTAAGTGATAAACTTTCTTCTGCATCACGTGGGGGGCAACCAACCGGTTATTATACATATTTCAGTGTGATAACATGCCTCCTAGCCACATCAGAAGGATTAACGAAAGTAATGCCCAAACTATATTAGACGGAGACTCATCTGTCTAAGTCTAACTCCTAAAATAGTTGTCTGGCAGTCCGACTGTCCAGCTTAGGGGTGAGTATGTGGACCGGACCGGACCAAACCGGATCAGTTTCGAAGAATATTGTGGACCGTGGACCGGACCAGATGAGACTTACAGGGTCCAGGTTCGGGTCCTAGTCCAGTTTTTCCGATTCTTGGACATGATTAGATCGGTATAACTTTACATGCATACAGTACAATTAGTTAAAACGCGTTTTTGAGTTTGATACTACTCGTTAAAACAAATATGTTATTGAGTTTGACACGTTACAACTCATTAAAATGAATACATTTTTGGGTTATATACGATACAACTCGTAAAAATGAATACTTTTTCGTTTCATTTACCCATTGGACCGGTCAAACATTAATTGTTTATACCATTTATTTGAACTTTGAATCAAATAAGTTAATGATTTTATCATATTTCATACATAACTAATCTAACTTTATCTATAATATTATAACTTGAAAAATCAATTTTCCAAATAAAAGAACCTAACATATAAATCAAGTTCACCAACAAAAGTTGACAATCTTAACACAAATTACAAAAGTAATTACCGTAACACCAAAATTATAGTTTAAAATTTAAACTCAATCCAACTAACAAACGTCATAATCTAATCTTCCATTGGCCTCTTCCCCATATCATTGTCATCTAAATCTAACATGTTTAAGGTCTGTGCAATCTCTACATAAACACAAAATATTAATGTTGTTAGTATTTAATAAAAATTAATAATTGACAAGCTGAAATATTTCAGCTTTGATATCCCAACTTTGAATGATTGTAACTCATTGAATATAATACCAAAAATAGCAAAATTATAGTCTAAATTCATCTAGAAATTCTAAATTACATGTTGGAAAAAACCACATGTTAATCTGACTTAAAACGAATTAAATATGTTTGTTTAAAGAATTTCACAAAATACAAAATTTAAGTTTCTTGCTGAAAAGCTGAAATATTTCAACTTTGATATCTCATCTTTGAAGGACTGCAACTCATAGAATATAACACCAAAATTATAGTCTAAAACCATCTACAAACTCTAAATTACACGTTGGAAAAACCGCATGTCAATCCGACTAAAAAAGAATGAGATATGCTTGTTTAAAAATTTTCATAAAATAAAAAAGTTTAAATTTGTTGTTGAAAAGCTGAAATATTTCAGCTTTGATATCTCATCTTTGGACGATTGTAAATCATCGAACATAACACCAAAAACAACAAAATTATAGTCTAAAATTATCTACAAGCTCTAAATTACATGTTGGAAAAAAAACACATGTTAATTCGACTTAAAATGAATGAGATATGTTTGTTTAAAGAATTTCACAGAATACATTTAAAAAAAAAATAATAAGTTGGTCCAAAACCGGTTTTTATCTGGAGCCGTCCAGATTGGACTGGTAAAAAACAGCGGACCGGTTTTGCTCAAATCATAGAACCGAGAACCGGCCCGGGGTTCCAAAAAAAAATGGTTTGGTCCGGTTCACCGGCCTGGTCCGGTCCACAAGTCTAAATGCTCACCCCTAGCCCAACTCCTAAGCCAGGACGCCTCCAAATAGTTTCACTGCTTGACGGCCGGTCTTGAACATCTATGGTCAAGTCGTCATGTGACAACGCAACACCTGCATGTGTCAATGGTAGTGCATGCACTACTATTTCAATTCTTTTTGAGCCAATCATAGCTCAGGCAGACGACAATAATACACTCAACCAATCCGCAACTCTGTCTCGAATCGAAGCGCTGACACCCTTGTCCCTTAAAGCAGGACATGCACCAAGCGCCTCACTATATAAGGCCATGCACCTATAACGCTAAAGGGATTACTTACTCTCTACTTCCATACAATACTCATACACTTACCTCTACCGAAGTACTAACCTGACCCTTAAAGGCTTGAAGTGTTCTCACTAGAACCCCTCCCGTAGCACGCCTCACGAAAATTTTTCTTGGTTGTGATATAGATCTCCCATCCACGACGACGTTATGCTAACTGAGCATCGCCAGAGATCCACTTCACATCATTAGCGCCATCTGTTGTTGAGCCAAACCAACAAAAAGACAGCAACAAACTTTCCAATAATGGCGAATGAGGAAGAAAAGCGATTCCAACGGCACCACTCCAAGCCCAATTCAACCCATGACCTTACTCGAGGTAGTGATCATGGAAACACTACAAACCATCTCTCTACTCACCGCCAATCCTCCAACACCAGAAATCCAGACTCACCCCAGTGTGCACACAATAATCATCCCATGTAAACCCCACATTAAGTGTAACTCAAGTGTTAAACCCACACCTGATCTACAACTACAAAAACTCACTCCCATCATTCTAACCAACGGTGGGAACCCAATTTAACAGCCTAATTCCCTCCATGA